AAAAGAATCTTGCTGACCCATTAATAAAGGGTCTATCCAGGAGTGTGATTCTGGATTCATCGAGGGAGATGTGGTTAAGCTCATAAATAAGGTCACTGACAGCGGTAACCCAACCCTTATTTGGAGACATAGTCCTAATGTTGGTTCAATATGGTAGAAACAAGCTGGACTAGTGATACTCGTGTGGAGCATCGACCTAGATATATTTATATATCATTATAGTAGCATGTGATACTTTCCCTTCTTTGTGATGACGATGCTCTTATGATACAGCTGGTTAGGCTGAATTTTACTCTTAATAAGTCTAACGCGTGTATTGTAGAGGGTATGATATCCAGCTGTAGTACCATTGGAGGACTTACCTACGTGAAAGGAACCATGATAGTCGTGGTTAGGGGGAGGGGGCTAGGCTAACCCCTAGAAACTCTCATGAGTCGGTTTATTATGAGCATGACATTTAATGCTCAACTCGCTTTGCTCAATAGATAAAGATGTATTGTGTGTGTTTTCGTCAATACCTGGTCAAAGGGGCCTAATTTAAGGCCTAGTCTATTATGTGTTGACCTTTTTGTTTTGATGATGTTTTTATAAATAATTTACGACTAACTTTGTTTGTCTAGTGTTTGTGTTTTTGTATTTATTCTAGGCAAACAATGAGTCGAAGGTTGGATGGAATTGCGCTTCAACGATCATATCCAATGGAGGTTGGCGGAATATCGATATGAAGCCTTGCAATTCAAGTTGAAGATCCAAGTTCAAGCTTCATCCGTAAATGTACCAAGTCGTGCTTATTGAAGACCTTCATCAAGCTTGGGTATATTTAGCATAGGTTTTATATTATGTGTGTTCAATGCTTTAAGCTCAATCATATACACACATACACGTGTTGGTTTTGTATATATATATATATATATAATATATGTGTGTGTGTGTGTGTATGTATATATATATATATATGTTTTGGTTTTATAAGTTTTCAAGTTTTAATATGAAACAAATGAATAAAATTGGAAAATATATTTTTGTTTCATGTTCATATGTGTTTGGTATGAATTCATGTTCATTGGTTTTAAAAGAATGAATAAAATATATAATTTTGGGAAAATATTTTATTTCTTGTTTATAGACTTAACAATAACAATTTATATTTTATGTCAAGTCTATAAAATTATTTTATAATGTTTCAAAAGTTTGTTTAAGTTAAAATGACAAAAACATGTGTTTTGTATTTTCATGTTTTGGACTAGTTTTAAAAAATGATAAGATTTTACAATTGGGAAGTGCAATTCTAAAAATTCCTTTTGTAATATGTTTACTATTATGTTTATAAATATTTTCCAAAGTTTTATATTTTTCTGAATTTATTTATTATTTTTAAAAGCAATTTAAAAATTAGTTTTACTATTCAAATCAGACTGAAATGTGTTATCAGTCGACTGATGAAAATGTCTGGAATAGTCAATAGTTTTTGTTTTTATGTTGGTCGACTGACTGATCGACTGATGAGGCCATCAGTCGACTGATAAGGTCATCAGTCGACTGATGAGTTGGAAAATGCCTATAACGGTCAGCTCATCAATCGACTGATGTTGTAATGGCTAGTTTTTTTTCAATCTTGTTCTGTTTTGATTTTTTAGTCTTTTTACTTTGTTTTTCTTATGTTTTGGGGTCTCTATAAATACCCGTCATACCTCAGACCAAAAACTAACCAAGAGAGTTTTAAAAAAGAGTTTAAGTATGTTTAACAATTGTTTAAAGTTTGTTTAGTTTGTTTAAAGCTTGGTTTGTGAAGATATTTTTACAAGAGGAAGTGGAGATCAATTCTTGGTGTTTGAGCTTCAATTCATCTCTCCTACTCTTTTCATTTTAGAGAAAATTTTCTAAACTTAATTTCTAGCTTTATATTTACATTGTTTATTGATTATCATCTTCATAAGGTAGATTTTCATAATTGAGTTTAGTTTGTTTTGATTATACTTTTTGTTCACACACAACCTATTGAGCTTATTGTATTTGCATGCATGGTATAATTTAGGGTTGTGGGTTTGTGACTTAGAGAGTGAGCCTACATTGTGTTCTCATCCATTGTAGAGAACAATTCATTTGTATTGAGAGCTTAATTGTGAGGATTCACTTTGTATTGCACAAATACACCAAGAAGAGTGCAGAGGTGAGAGACGTGGTAGGTCCCAAGAGGAGTGGGGTCGATGGTAATGCCTAGAGGGTAGATCATAATTATGAGCACTTGAGGGAGACACGTGAAAGGCCAACACTTGAGGTGGGATTTGTGTAGTTATATTATGATATTGTGAACGTTGATCGGTGAGCGTTGAAAATCAATATTGTATGGCGTAAACATTATTTGGGTGAGTGTCGAAAACCCGGTTGTGATAGTAGATTTCTCCCCAGGAGTGGGGAGCGGAGACGTAGGACGGAAGGTCCGAACTCCGTGATCATTTGATTGTGTTTGAGTTTGATTTGGCGTTCATTTATCTTTGTGCTCATTGCTCACATTGCCATTGTCTTATTATTTAGTTTGTCCACTATATTATTTACATTTGTTTATTTTACCCTTTGTTTATATTGATTATCCTTGAAAATAATTGTTGCATATCTTATTTGCTAGGATAATTTGTTAATTAGTTTTAATTAACATAAAACCGGATTAGATTAGCATAAACCCTATTCACCCCCCCTCTATGGTGTTTTCATTATGTCCCTCATGTGACGATGAACTCACTAAGGAAAGGTTCAAAGCCGAAAGCTACATCTCCCGAATTCACGATACGAAAGGTTGTCTAACCTATATTTGTTTTGTGATTTATTATTTTATTTATTAATTTTGAGTTTTCAGTCAATATTGTCTTTTGGGGGGGGGACTGTTGGATATTTTGTTGGAGAAAAGGCAATTTTACCTTCATGAATAGTCTCACGTGGAATAGTGTAATGAATACAATTAGAACGTGCGTAACGACTATACATTATGGAGAACATTACGAAAATTTATAATGAACGTTACCGTATTAATTGTAGGAATTATAATGGTTTTCTCAACCCTATATATACACCCTTATTCACTTTCGGAAAATATATAGAAACAATTCTCTCCTTTTCCTCTTCTCTCCTATGCATATTATTTTCGTTCATATGTTGGTGTTATTTTTGGGCAACTGTTCTTCGTCTGAGCTGAAGCTCTGTTCTCTCGCCCGAATACACAGGCCGGCCGTTTTTGGAGGGTTTTATCGCTAGGTGAGAGAGGATCATCTGCGCCAGGGCGATAGGCGTGTCCTCAATCTTCTAGGGCAGTGTTTAAACGACTGATCCCGATTAGGCCAGACTTTCTTATTATTTTATTTCAGATTTATTTTACATGCTATAACATTTGATTTGATAAATTTTCCAACAAATCCTAGTTTGAATGTGCATATAGATTAATGATTATCCATATTGCATGTAATCCACTAATTAATTATTTTTAAAATTTATATCAATGAACAAGCTGATGTTAGTAGCTGCTTTGCGTATTTGTTATCCAAATACTCTGCTTGGTATAATATAAGTTGATTGGAGGGCAAGAACATCATTCTGGTTTTGATATTAGTCTTAACGGTTATAATCCTTCCAAAAATATACACTAATTTGAATTATTTAACTTAGTCTGGATATAAGTCCTTATAAAAATAAATATTGGATTGGACTAAAATAATCCCGAGACAACATAATCCTAGTACTATAATCTAAGGGCTACAATATCGCCTAGTCCAGACAAAAAACAAACAAAGGCCATTGAGATTTAGAGGGTAAAACAAACACTTTATAAAAGGCATCTTATATTAGTCTCTCAAATCTTCGTATTTCTAAATAAGACTCAAAATTAAACATCCTTGTATTTATTTACATTCCCAAGTTTATTACTTGTTTTAAAACAACACCCCGAGTTTGACAAGCATAAAGTGTTTGGAGTCTAGTTAGAAGTATGAAAATTTACAACCTAATATAGAATTAACAAATATTTAATCTGAGAGTTTAATACGTACGAGCCTTTTATCAAAGGGCTATTTTTCAAGTTAGTCCTTTATAATTATGTTAATGCGTTGACTATTGTATACTCGAAAGTTTCTTGCCATAGCTTGATTTTCAGCGGGCTGTTTTACATGTACTAGACGCACCTAAAAGTGATTGAAAATATCGAATGGAGTTTTATTTTTGTCTTTTCTTATCTGATTAGAAACAAACAGATTTGGATTTTTTTTATCTTTTCTAGAACCGTTTATAATAATGAGTTTACATTTCTCATTTATAAACATTCAATAATACACAAACAATTATTGTTATTCTTAACAAAATTAGCAACATCTTCTGTGAAGTGTATTTATTTCTCTGGGATAAATTTCATAAAACTTATATGAGCTTCAGAAAATCAATAAACTTATTAGGGGGGAAAAACTACGGAAAAAGAGTTGGGTATATAAAAGGCCTAGCCACCCTTAAAATTAGGATAAGGCGAGAAGATATACGCAGTATATAAGAGAAAACTTGTACATAACATGTTACAAACACGTCACCTGGCCACCGTTGAAATCGTAGTTTAGTGATAAAGTTCACAACAAATTTCTCTAATATAAAATATTCATGATAGTTTGTGATAGGCCCTTAATCTTATTTAATCTAAAACAAATATTCGGAGTCGATGATAAATTGACAATCAAATAAGTACAATAAGAGAATGAAATCTCTCTTCTACAAATTTTGACACACGGTTCTACAAGTCCCAGTCGAGTTAATTTTACTCTGATGTATAACATGTAGGCCTCATAACAGACGATATTGTTCTTGTGCAAAAAAGCCATATATATTGTATCTTCACGAATTTACTATAATAATTGTACCAAGTCCCATGCATCGGACGGGTGACAAATAGTACAAGAATACAAGAGGGGGAAAATTATTTGCTAACCTCAAGAAGAAAATGTAAAAAAACACAAAACTAAGCAGAAACAAATTAACAAAAAAAAAAAAAATTCAGCCTAACTAAAAACAATCATGGTACATTCTCTACACTCAAACATACAATGAACAAATAATCATGCCCAAATAGCCAACATAGACATGGACACAGCACCAAGAAACAGAGCAAAACACAAGATCACTCTCAACAATACACTGCTGCTCTTCAGCAAACCAATAAATTCCATGGCAATCAAATCCACCATTGCCATGTAAATTAAAATGCCTGCAGAGGTTGAGTCTAGAATTCCCTGCACAATCGTAGCAGTTTTACTCTCAGGACCATAAAATGATGCAGTTGTGATCCCTAAAGCTATTCCTCCAGGAGTTGTGATGGCAAAGAAGAATGCCATTAGTACTGTTTTTAGGTTATGAAATCCAGCCTGCAAGGATAACAACAATAGTCAAGACGTTGAGTGTGCGATCTTAATGTAATTGTGTCACAGGTTTCTTCTACTACACAAAAAGTCCAAAATTGTGTGAATCTTGAGGTTATAATTTTGGGTTAACTGCGGATAGACACTTCTTAACCTGTCAAAACACAGAAAATCTATATAATGGTTAAAGTGAGTTAACCCTCAATAATTTGTCAAACGCAAATAATACATAAACGGTTAAGCTTATCCATCTAGAGGGATTAAAATGAGTTAACCTCTTAAAATACGGGGTTTGCTAATACTCCTATTTAGAAAGAATAAGACTTAACCCCTCTAATTATAGAGAAAATAGTCAAAATTCTTGTTATTTCCAAACACTAAAAATGATCACAATGGCTAAAATAAAACTTATATAACGGGTTAATATAATTTAGTCTTTTTGGTTATCGAATAGACTAACTATGCATGTTAATCTTTTTTCTTAATCCATCTTCTTTACCCCTTTGCCAAACGGTGCTTTAGAGAGTATTGTTTCCTCTGTTGAAGTGAGAATTACATGATAAAAGCCATTTTAAGTCCTTGGTTAAATTGAAAAATGACAAAGGTGCCTTCTAAGTTGAAGGCAAAAAAGTAAGAATTTGTCCTTGGACCTTATATTTAGGATCATTTTATGCAAATCTTTTTATATTTCCTATTAATATCTAAATCATCTACAAAGTTAGTTTTCATCCAATCAGCTACCTGACCCCACTTTCCTCCTAAAATTCGAACAATGCCCTCACCATTCAGACATCGATGTGGTTAGGAGCCTCGTCTCGTTAAGAGGGAATCACCTTGTTATATGTGAGAGTAATTAAGTGAGGGCATTGTTGGGATTTCAAAAAGATTTTAGCAGCAAAATAGGGTTAGGTGGTTGATTGGAGTGAAAACTAACTTTTAAGGTGGTTTGCATAAAATGACCCTAAATATCAGATGGTTTTCGAAAAAAAAACAAAAGCCATTTGAAGTTTGGAAGTGTAACTGTTAATAAAATATAGTTTAGAAAGTTTTCGTTAGTTTGGACTTCACCTGAGATATGCAGCCTCCAAGGGCAAACCCCTCGAAGAATTGGTGGAAGAAGAGCGCTGCTACGAGAGGCGTAACTGTAGATGATTTCCGAGATACGCCCAAGGATAAACCGATGATGACCGAGTGAGATACAATTCCAAGCTCCAATATCTAGACAGAACGAGCATGCATAAAGGGTCTTGACATAGCTAGCTAGTATATATACAAGAGAGAGAAATCTATGATAAGCTTATGTGAGTATGCTTATGGAATAGAGTATATGCAAATAAATTTGGAGAAAAAAGCAAATTAAAAGGCCTATGAAAGGATTGTGGAAGTTAATTTATATATAATCAATTAAGGTTACGATGCTTCAAACATATAATTATGTAATTGAAATTGGAAGGTTGGGTTGTGGAAAAGATTTGTCGATCTCAATGATTTTTAATGTATTCTCAATATTGTTCGTGCACCTTATTAAGAGACTCAAAAAAAAAAAAAAAGTTTCCAATGAGGAATAGGAGAAAGAAAAGGAGAGTAAGAGATAGGATCAAGTTCTAATTTTAGCTCTAGAATAAATAAAAGTTCAAACACAATTCTATATATACGAACAAAAGAAAGGAGGGAAATGAGGATATTTATCTCAAAAAGCAATTAAACTGGTTAAGTAAAGAAGAGTGTCAATGTACTTTCAACTGTACAAATCGAAGAAGGGTTTGTTGATCAACAAATAAATACATATTTTTTCGGAAGCACGTACGCAAAACATCATCAATTACCTGTGCTACAACCATCCGCCGAGAGTCCTTGCAGCTCTCCAGTTCGTTTCGTATGGAGAACAATAGCGGGGGGGGGGGAAAGGGGGGGGGGGGGGGGGCGGGGAGGGGGAATTGAGCGGAATATACAGATTGGATTTGCCGAGTGTCAGCTGGTAAACAAGAAAACGAAATAAAAAAATTAAAAACATTGTTTACCCCCTCCTCCGCCGTTTGATTATAAATGACCTAAAACTTATTTCTTTTCCCTTTTGCCCCAACTTAGTCCCTTAATCTTTCAATATTTTGATTAGCCGCTGAAATCTTTGAATTAGTATTAGGTTCGCATTCTTAATGATTTTCAAAAAATTAGTCCCTCAAATAATTAAAATTACAATAAGGTCCCTCATATTCCTATGAGTTTTCTTAATTAACAGCATTTCCGATTGCTACTAGTTTAGAGAGGCATAAATTGATTATGAAGAGTGTTTTGTGTATCATGGTGTAATCCTATGCATTAATAAAACAACAGGAATTTTAATAGGGTACACATAAGCTATCACATTTCAAAGTTTACATTGTCGCTATCCAAAATGTAATACTATTTTATTTTAGGATCACAAGGATTCCTAACCAAACAATGTAATAACTCAAAATGGTAAGTGGTGAGGTGGATAACCACTTTCCCATTATGACATAAATACTCTATGTTTCGCCCAGCATACAAACAGCCCTAAAGGTTACAATTATACAAAATTCTACGTAGTTATTTTCAAGAATAAATCATCGCCAGCAGTAAATTGAATATGTATTGATATTAGATAAAAGTGTAGAAGCTAGACAAATGCAATAATAATTAAGTTATTCTCGGAAATTAGTTCAGGAATAAATGGCACGTCTAGGTATGACAAACGAAAAGCCATGTTAATTAAAAGAGGGAGCAGAAAATTGTCAATCTCTACCACGGACGGAGTCGTTGCAACTGACTTGGAGCAATGAGGCTCTCTTCGCAGCCTTAATCAACCCTTAACCAATGCTTTGACATATGCAGCAACCGCTGAGGATTCGAATGGCAAATGACGGTGTTGATTCAAATGATCCTAATAGCTTCTCGGATCACTTCTCTGCGCAGCTCTTTAACCATTGAGGTTCATTCATCACCCGAATCCTATTTACTACAAAACTGCCCACATAGCTCGACTGAAAACTAGAAAAAATTACCTGCAAAGACGCAACTTTCCGAATAAAAATCGCTAAATTTGTGCACAGAAGCCCTAATTCTAAATTTTGTTACTCACCTCCGGCGTTTTATGATACCGGATCGCTTCAAATTTGGATGGGCAAACAATGAGAAATAATTAACTACTATGCGAATGGCTAAGCAGGAACAAAAACCCTATTTGGGGGGAAAAACAAAATAGGAAAATGAACTGCAAAAAAAGGTGAAGAAATCTGGCTGCGTGAGGAGTCGCCTCAAAGCCAATGACCTTTTTCAATTACTCCTTTTGACTTTTTTTTTGGCTGAATTTTGATGTTTTTTCGATTGATTTAGCAAATATCGAGAACAAAATTCTAAATCGATCTTTCAAGAGAGGATAAAGAGTAAAATTTATCGGGATTGATTTTGCCCCCTCGAATTTCAGCGAGTTTTGGGGTCGAGACCTCTCGTCTATTTCGCACGCGCGAGATTTTCTGGTAGGGTTCTTATTTTGGCCCGTCTATCTCAGCACATCTCTACTAATTTGCCAAATTTGCCCAGAATCTGCAATATTTTTAATGTGCGGTTTTTTTGAGATATTAGTTCTTACATCTCGCAATACTTGCAGCATTAGTCTGCTCAATCTTTGGAAATTGCGATATTGTACTTCAACTCCTCTTGCAAATGATACCTTTCAATTAAATGCAGGCACTACTTTGATCAAATATTCCAGCAAATCTAAATGGTTGAAGGCAAAGTGACTATTTTACCGCCTATATTTATGTTCCTAACCCATTTCTTAATGGATTTAATCTTAATATCCGCTAAAAGGGCATGTTTTGTTTTGCAGAGAACGTACATATAAAATAGTTAAAGTAACGAAAAGTAGAGGCTATTACTCCTATTTTAAAGAAAAAATTATATGTTGAAGCAAGAAAGTCAAGGCTGCTACTTGCTATTCCAGGCAAAAAAAGTAGCATATTTTCCTTTGGAAAAGGCTACGCTTTGGTAATTTCTTAAATATTTACTGTGGGCTACTCCCTACTCCGGGGAAAAAGTATACATTTTTTTCCTTTGAAAAGCTACTTTTGGTACTTCCTTACAATGTTGAATGAATGCCTATAAAGAATCTCTATTTTTTTTAACTTATTTTTCATTCTATTTTAAAAGAAAAAATTATATGTTTGAAGCAAGAGTCCAGGCTGGGCTACTTCTATTCAGGCAAAAAAGTAGACTATTTTTCTTTGGAAAAGCTACATTTGGTAATTTCTTAAATATTTACGTGCTACTCCTACTCAGGGGACAAAGTATACATTTTTCCTTTGGAAAAGCTACTTTTGTACTTCTTAAATGTTTGACATTTTTGGTGCCTATAAGAGAAGGGCAGCAAGCTCTGAAGAGAGCCTGCTCAGGCGACGTGGGCCGTGGAAAACGGCAGCCCCCCTCGAGCAAGCTCCTAACCGCCTCCAAGCCCTGCGTCCTTAGCCGACGTGCGGTGGAGAGCTTCGGAGCTCCAAGCGCTCCACAAATTTGTGGAGGCGCTTGGGAGCTCCCAACTGGGAAAATTTTACAAAAACCCTCCTCAAACATACCAGGATCCGAGCGATGATGACTTTCGTTGAGATGCTGGCGTTCGCGGAGATGATGGGTGCGGTCGAAATCAATTCCCCACTTTAGAAATCTGATGAAACGTCGCGCTGGGCGATGCGAAGAGGCGAATACCGCAGCTAACTTGCGCCTACTGATCCAGAGATTTCCTCGATTCGACGCTTCATCTTCCGTCTGAGTTGATCTGAGCGCTATTTTTTTCCGATTAATTTGGGCATGAAATTCAAGCAGACGTGTGATTGATTTTAGTTTTTTATTGCGTGAGCGTAAACCCTAGAAGAAAATAATTATAATTGGAATAAAAGTAAATGGGATTTTTGCAAAGAAGGGGAACTTTGATTTATTTTGATTTTTTAACTGGGATGGAGAGAAGTCTGAATTTTTTAACGGGCATTTATTTGATTTTTAACTGGGATTTTTTTTAATGGCGAGGCGTTAGAAATATAAATACAAGAGGTTTAAATATAATTAAAGTAATAGGTAATATTAAAATAGAAGAGGTTTTCTTTTTTGATATTGTTGGAGCTCCTAACTAGGGAGCTTGTTGGAGCTCCATAAAATAAGGAGATGCTCCAAGACGCTAGTTTTTTATAATTTTTTATATCTAAATGCTTTGAGAGCTCTTGAGAGCTTGCTGACTAGGACTCCCACTGGGAGCTTGCTGCACTTGTTCTAAAGACATCTCTACTTTTTTAATTATTTTCGCATTCCTTCAAGGCTGCCGAAGTAAGCTTAGGTGTAGCTAAATATGAAATCAATTTACAGAATAAGTTAAATTTGTATTACGTGGATATTCTCAATTTCTAAATAAAATCCGCAAAAATATTCTCTTCTTCTCTTGCCTAAGCAATATTTTTAATAGGCTATAACAAACAAAAATGAAACGAAGTAGAAGAAATATTATTCGGATAATTTTCGCAAAATATGTGAATAAAAAAAATAAGAGTATTGCTTCCACTATTTCGCTACTTCATCATATTTCAGAAAGCTAACTTCTTTTATTACTTATTACTTTTATATAACTTCTTGGTCATCAAACGGCAGCTAAAAAACCGAAACATCACTTGAGTTCTTCCTCTTCAATGTAGTAAAAGAATCCAAACCCAAAAGTTTAGCTCACAAAGTGAAACATCAGAAAGAGATAGAATGGTTTATCTATTCACTTTGAAATTGAGTTCGTGTTAATAAAGGGTAATTTTATGACGTCTTATTGCCAAAGAAATGTGTTAATAAACTAAGCGAATATTGGCCAGTTTGGGTTTTTTTTTTGAATAGTGAGGATACTATTTTAAAATAGTCCTTTAACGCATCGTTTAGTTCTATGTTTTATGTTTTTCTGATTTGCATTATTTTAAGGAGGCAATGAATAGCCCCCTGCAAGGAACTAATTTAAGTCAGCCTCATCCCTACTTATAATCCAGACTATACATGTAGTACGTTTGGCAAAAAGGTTAAGTGAGGGTTAAGGAGATTAACGCCCTTCTTACCTGCGGCAACCAACAAATCTATATAAGGGTTAAAGTGAGTTACCCTCCAATAATTTGGCCAAACATAAAAAATATAGAAGGGTTAAGTTAACCCCTCTAGAGGGGTTAAATGAGTATCCCATCAAAATGAGGGGTTTACTAATACTGCCTATTTAGATGGAATAAGAGTTAACACTTCTAATTATAAAGAAAATAGTTAAAATCATGTTATTCCCAAACACGTAAAACTAATCATCAAGGTAAATAAAACTTAATTTAACGGTTTATAATTTAGTCCTTCGATTATCAATGGGCTAAGTACATTAATCCTTCTCTTTAACCACTCTTCGTTAACATTTGGCCAAACGAGGCCGTAGAGGTTTAATAAGAATTTGGGAGCAAAATCACTCCTATCCATTTTCCTTCTCTCTGACGAGATTTATTTGTTTCGGTCGTTCTCTCATTATTCCCACAAAATTCTTTTTCGTGAGCAGGAAAAAACAAAAGCGTTTAAATTTTTGAGAAGGATGATAAGATGAATGCGTGTGTAATTATGAATGTGAATCTTGTTGATATTTTGTTTGGAGAAAAAGGGCATTTGCGCTTCATGAATAGTCTGCATATAGAATAGTGTTATGAATACAATTTAAAACGTGTGTAAGCGAGCTATACAATTATGGGGAACTGTTACAAAAATTTATAACGAAGTTATTGTATTAATTATAGGAATTATAATGGTTTCTCAACCTAATATACATCCTTATTCA